TATTACGGTAAGATTATCGAAAACTAAATATTTTACGAGATATTTTATTTTTTATATCAAAATATATCAGATTAAAATATAAAATAACACAAAACGTACTTAATGAAAAAATACTTTATTATATTGTTTTGAAAAGCTCTCGAGATAAGCTACAAGAATATGCAATAAAAAATATAGTCTTCCATTAAAAAAATTAAATGTGACCTTCATGTGACCTTCAAATAACTCTTTAAGGTCAAACCAATGGTATCATCTTATGGCCCCCTCGAAACCATACAACTTTTGTCTAAAACATTTTTGTCTTAAACTTATAGATTTTAAGATATTTCAGTGGATACATTAAAATGGCCTACCCTGTATAATCATTTCTCTTTATTTCGTAGTAATAATAATAACAGAATAATTTGATTTTCTCTAAGAAATATCTCTTTAATTTCTCTATAACTTTTAGGACATTTTTTACACAATAAGATATAAGAAGAATATACAATTTATAAAATCTCTTAATCTTTTAGGCATCTATAGAGAAACCAGCGAATGTTCCAGTCGTTCTATCTTTTCCATCAGTATTATATCAGACTCAGGGCGGTATTCAAGATGAAATGGCTCTTCCTCTGGGGACAGTCGTAAATGCCATTTTTAAGAACCAAGCCTGGTTATATGTTCAAACACCTCACGGCCAGGAAGGCTATGTTGATTACGCCGCCTGTTTGCCTCTGGGAATCTTACCGCATCCTACACAAGGACCTTGCTGGGAGGATTCTACCGACATCTTTCCCCGACCTCTCGGTGAGCAAAATTTCCTCCCTAAGACTCGAAAAAATGAAAGAAACCTTAACGATATAAAGAAATGTCATTCGTTTACTGCAATCGCATTTAAATTTCCGACATATATATTTTAAATCTATGTATAATTTATGTTTGATATATTTTTTCTTTATCAAATTATATATACAGAATGTTTAATAATAATTGCCCCACTTGTAATGTGCAGTTAGAGCCGGTGAAACCGCAGGAAAGTCCTTTACCATTTTGCGATTTTCGTAATAATAATTGAGAAATTAATTAAAAAAGATCGACCAATTCGCGCGAGTATAAGCACGCAGCGAGAAGCAATGCCGCCCATATCAGGCCATCCTTTCTCACCACGCGGTAATACTCGCGCGAATTGGCCGATCTTTTTAAATTAATTTCTTATTAATTATTGCGACGATCGCAAAACGGTAAAAGACCGTTCGTATTTGGTTTTATCTGCTCTACCTGCACATTACGGGTGGGGCGATTATTATCAGACACCCTGTATATATGTATGTATGTATATAGGGTGTCTGTCAATCTCATCACCCATCGTGTGCAAGTAGAGCAGATGAAACCGAGAAGAAAAATCCTTTTCCATTCTGCGATTTTCGTAATAATTATTGAGAAATTAATTTAAAAAGATGGACCAATTCGCGTAAGTATAAGTGCGCGGCAAGAAGGAACAGCCCAGAGACAACCCAAAAGTTTGCGGTCGCTACGCGCGCGACGAAGTTTTGGGAGGAGCGCTCTACAAATGACAATAGTTACGTACGAGCGGTCGTACATACAGATCTGGAAACTGCGTTACTTTTTTAATGATGAGGATAAAGTGAAAACGATTTGGATAGTTCTTTTGATGGCCGCTGCCATCACGGGATGTAGAGATGCGCCTACGCACGTCAATTGTACGACAGAGAATGATGTTTCCTTCTAATCTTTTCACCGGTAGCTGTCAAAATCCAAAATGTTTTTTATAAAACGTTTCGATCTGTAAGGTCGACATTTGGAAGTAATTTCAATAATTTCTTTGGAAATAATTTGAAGCACCAATAAATGCCATTCAAATAGTAACATAATGAAATGAAAATTTCATCTGTAAACTGTTTTTGTTAATTTAACTATACAATTTGAAGATGTGAAAGGTCTTGAGGCAAGCAATTCATAAAAATAATCAATGGCTGGGATTGTAAACAAATAGAGTCTGCTTTTTCAGTGCTGTTTTTAACGCTTTTAACGCATCTGATTGCTGCAGATATTTCCATGTCATTGGATAATTAAACATGAATGTTTTTTGAGACTAAAAATATAATATTTACTTTTATACCTTCGCTAGATACATCTTTGCTGTTTAGGTTATTATTCGTCTCCAGAGTTATTTGTGGTTGTAAGACATCCAGTTCTGATTAGTTCCGACTGACAACGTGTCGGGTTCGGACGTGTTTTTGCGTGCTGCATATGTCCTTTGTCTGGACCTTTTTTTGGACTCAATGGCTGGGATTGTAAACAAATAGAGTCTGCTTTTTCAGTGCTGTTTTTAACGCTTTCAGCATCTGATTGCTGCAGATATTTCCATGTCATTGGATAATTAAACATGAATGTTTTTTGAGACTAAAAATATAATATTTACTTTTATACCTTCGCTAGATACATCTTTGCTGTTTAGGTTATTATTCGTCTCCAGAGTTATTTGTGGTTGTAAGACATCCAGTTCTGATTAGTTCCGACTGACAACGTGTCGGGTTCGGACGTGTTTTTGCGTGCTGCATATGTCCTTTGTCTGGACCTTTTTTTGGACTCCCTCCTCTCTTAAGAGGAATTTTTGCTTATATCTTACAAACCCATAAGAAACAATGGTGTATGGGCGACTAATGCCCAACCAGCCATAAAAGAAAGAAGAAGAAGAATCCAGTTCTGATTCTAATATACTTCTTTCGCTGTATCAATTTGATTCACCATCTATGATTATCGTGATCATAATTTATTAATGCTAATTCATCAATTTATCATTAATCAATCTATTTGCATGCGACAAGATTTTCTGTTTCATACCGTCTGAAATAAATATTGTTAGCACTGCATCCGCTGTTAAATAAGGACGTTTAAGCAAAACCTGTGCAGAAATTGCATTCAAATTTCAATTCACGTTTTGTAAAATATCGAAATATTGAAGGCTATAACTTTTTAATAGAAGAGATATAAAAATGTATCACGCAAAAGGCGTATATTTGTTAACCTTAATAAGATATACTCACATCTGCGATTACTCTGCCGGTTTCATCGTATTTCACAAACTTTCTCACAATACAATTTTTTTCGAAGTGTCTCCCAAATAAATTGCATGGGTTTCAAAGAGTTCATTTCCGGAATAATTGATTCCCATTTTTTGCGAATTTTATCGTCTTTGGACACTTTAAAAACTGATCTCTTCACGTGAATACTGTTATACCCTGTTTTGCATTTTGGCACTATACGTCATTTTTCAAACAACAAAAATTGTGTTCACTTTTGTTAATTGCACGTTTTATTTTCATTATTCACTGTTATTAACGGTCGTATAAACTGCTATTCAAAGCATCATTCAAATTCAAAGCGTGGTTTAAAACAACATCCCTTACAACTACCGATACATGCGGCCAATATAAGAACTATAGAAACCGTTGTCATTAAGCGACGCATCCCCCATCATGGGAGTTTCCAAATCTGTATGTACGACTGTGAGCGGTACATAACGATAGGGATGTTCGATCTTGTGATAAAAATCGATTTCTGAATCGATTCTGAATCGCCGGTGTGAAAATCGATTCTTATAAAATCGGAATGCAGAAGATCGATCTTGTGAGAATCGATCTTTTTACATCACACAGTATAAAAAAATCCAAACATGCCAAAAAGTAAAGGAATTAACTAAAGTGCAGTTCTGTACCCAAATTGGAATCGAATTTTAGCGCAAGCCACAAATCTTGACAGATTGATGACCACTAATTTAGGAGTTAGGAAGCTTTTGAAAGGTTAAAGACAAGAATAAAAAGTATTTTAAATAATATATTAATATTTTTCACTTTTTTTTATTAATCGATTAACCAGTCTTTGTTCGAAAGCGACGAAAGAAACAGCAATTGCTGTAGATGCGTCGGCGAAAGTCTGTTTCGACTTTCGATTAATATACTACCTGCCTTGGAAAACAAGCGTTCCGATGGGACAGACGTTGCTACTATAAGTAATTAATGATGTGCTACTTTACTTAGTATCGGATACACGTTGTTTTTATGCCAGTAGTTCAAATGGTTATCGTTCAATATAGTCGTCGGTTGATTAAGATAATGCTTTAGATCTGTCGGCATTTCACTTCCCGAATAGGTTTCTTCTTCATGAATTGCCTGATGTCGACTGAGGAGGGTCTCGTGGTGAGACCAGAGATTATCGGAGCGGTCTTTTTGGTGAGCGACGTTTTCCGACGTTATTAACGATGGATTCTCATACAGCACAGAACATTGCAATTACATTGCAGTAATGTTACAATCTTGCAAGTTGCAATGTAATATTGTTGAGACATTATTGGAACATGCTATTGTAATATTTGATGAGAACGTTACAGCAACATTCCACAAACATTACAAAAAACAGTTTTCGGTAATCGCTAGTTCGTTCGTTTACCGCTATGCGGTGCGCGTTGCGTTATCTATCTCGCATTTAAGTTTTAGTCACGATGATTATACTGGTCGATAAAATAAGAACTTTCTTTTTGCCTTAAATTCTACCAAGTTATTTCTGATAGATTTTTTAGCGCTGATTATGAATCTGGCTGTAAAAATGGCATATCACGTCAAGTTTTTGAGAAAAGTTGCTCATTCAAAGTTGCTAAAATAAGCGTTTTTGATACTTTGGCATGAGCTACATCTTTCGATGGAGACGTACTACAGACGGTAGCGACAGCTCAAAATTAAGATCAAGACTTATACTTTATGATAAAAATGCCAGAAATCTCAGGCAGAAAAGGTTTTCCTGAAAAAAAGTGGTTGAAATATCTATTAGTGTCCTCCAGTCATATGTCTCTAATTGTCCGTTACTAAAATTTTTTAAAATCATTCTAATCATGAAAGTCGATATGTATACGTTTGCCTGGTCACTCATCACGAATCACGTGTTGAAATTTCAAATTGAAAATGGAGGATCCAAAATGGCGGACCAAATTTTTGAAAAATCATTCAAATCATGAGTATGTGTAGGTTTTTGTGATCGATATCACTTAAGAACAAAATTAGAATAGTTTTTTGTTACTTTTATTACTAAAAAAATTTTAGTAACAGACAATTGGAGACGTATGACTGGAGAATATTGCGATAGATGTTTCTTATGTTTCGATCACTTTTTTTCAGGAGAACCTTTCGTGCCTGGGACTTCGGGTATTTTTATCATAAAGTATAAGTCATAAGTTTTATTTTGAGCTGTAGCACGTCCCCAGATATAATTCACGCAAAAGTATCAAATACGCCTATTTTAGCAACTTTGACTGAAGTGTTCTCAAAAACTTGACGTGATACGCCATTTTTATAGCCTGTTATAGCCCGAAAAAGCTATACACTAGTTACTATATATAAATTATTTTAGATATATATTATTTTATACCATTGCTCAACGTGTAACGCGAATACAGATCACGTTACGAGTGTTGCCCGAGCGAAGCGCTGACAAGGTGAACCACGCGCGAAGCCCGAGCGACCGCGCAATCACTTCATTGCGAAAACGCGGAAATCAGGGCAAGCGGAATAAGGAAATTGCGAAAATGCAAGCAAAGAAGTCCTACTTAGAACTCCTTAGCTTGCACCCGGATCTTAAAACAGTTTTCGGTAATCGCTAGTTCGTTCGTTTACCGCTATGCGGTGCGCGTTGCGTTATCTATCTCGCATTTAAGTTTTAGTCACGATGATTATACTGGTCGATAAAATAAGAACTTTCTTTTTGCCTTAAATTCTACCAAGTTATTTCTGATAGATTTTTTAGCGCTGATTATGAATCTGGCTGTAAAAATGGCATATCACGTCAAGTTTTTGAGAAAAGTTGCTCATTCAAAGTTGCTAAAATAAGCGTTTTTGATACTTTGGCATGAGCTACATCTTTCGATGGAGACGTACTACAGACGGTAGCGACAGCTCAAAATTAAGATCAAGACTTATACTTTATGATAAAAATGCCAGAAATCTCAGGCAGAAAAGGTTTTCCTGAAAAAAAGTGGTTGAAATATCTATTAGTGTCCTCCAGTCATATGTCTCTAATTGTCCGTTACTAAAATTTTTTAAAATCATTCTAATCATGAAAGTCGATATGTATACGTTTGCCTGGTCACTCATCACGAATCACGTGTTGAAATTTCAAATTGAAAATGGAGGATCCAAAATGGCGGACCAAATTTTTGAAAAATCATTCAAATCATGAGTATGTGTAGGTTTTTGTGATCGATATCACTTAAGAACAAAATTAGAATAGTTTTTTGTTACTTTTATTACTAAAAAAATTTTAGTAACAGACAATTGGAGACGTATGACTGGAGAATATTGCGATAGATGTTTCTTATGTTTCGATCACTTTTTTTCAGGAGAACCTTTCGTGCCTGGGACTTCGGGTATTTTTATCATAAAGTATAAGTCATAAGTTTTATTTTGAGCTGTAGCACGTCCCCAGATATAATTCACGCAAAAGTATCAAATACGCCTATTTTAGCAACTTTGACTGAAGTGTTCTCAAAAACTTGACGTGATACGCCATTTTTATAGCCTGTTATAGCCCGAAAAAGCTATACACTAGTTACTATATATAAATTATTTTAGATATATATTATTTTATACCATTGCTCAACGTGTAACGCGAATACAGATCACGTTACGAGCGTTGCCCGAGCGAAGCGCTGACAAGGTGAACCACGCGCGAAGCCCGAGCGACCGCGCAATCACTTCATTGCGAAAACGCGGAAATCAGGGCAAGCGGAATAAGGAAATTGCGAAAATGCAAGCAAAGAAGTCCTACTTAGAAGC